GCAGTACTTTTGGTTACGCCTTGCGTTGTGTTTCTGGAATAAGATAGTCAAGTCCCGTGGGTCGGTCTATCATGACGTGTTAGTAGATGATCTCCGTCTGGCTCTTCTGTCTGATCTCAAAGTGGATTGCTGGTCGTCTAAAGTGCTCATCATTTTGCGTTGGTTGGGCCATGAGTGGCCGGCGTGTGACTCCGTTTCTCAGACGGTAGATGTATACTCGTCTCAGTTGATTCGAGTGGGTGAGGTTCTGGAGAGGTTATCTGCGTTCCTTTTAAGTGACTGGGATCAGTTCAGCCAAGGGGGTGATCCGCGTGTGTTCCAAGGTAAAGGGGTTTCGCTTTGCAGGTATCATAACTGGATGGGCTTCACCAGCAAGAGAGGGCTCCGATCCCACAGGCTATTTGCGTGTTTATTTGCCGGTCAACCAGTTGCGTATGGTTGCCAAATTCCGTCTTTGTTGTTGGCCTTTGGAGGTCAACAAAGGACACCATAGGCCGAGAGAGTGCCGTACGTGTCAGGTCTGTACGTCGGGTAAGGTTGAGGATGAATATCATGTGCTCATGGAGTGTGAGGCGTATACTGAGTTGCGTAATAGGTTTCTGATTAACGTTGAAGATACTGATATGCGCAAGGTATTTCTTAATACCAATCCGAGGAAAATCGCTACTTTCCTTACTGAGGTTTTTGATGAGCGTCAACAGCGTGCTCTGGAGCCTCACGGCTCGTGAGGGCACCCGCCGCGTCGGCGGCGGAAATACTGTAACCACAACAACAACAGCCGCTGTGTCCACTATCCTAGTACCGCGGCGCTGACGTGTCACCACCCGCGGCATTCTACTAGTGTAGTAGCCAGGCGCGCTGTGTCCACTATCCTAGTAGCCGAGGAGCTGACGTGTCACCACCCGCGGCATTCTACTAGTGCAGTAGCCAGGCGCGCTGTGTCCACTATGCTAGTAGCCGCGGCGCTGAGGTGTCACCACCCGCGGCATTCTACTAGTGCAGTAGCCAGGCGCGCTGTGTCCACTAACCTAGCAGCCGCGGCGCTGACGTGTCACCACCCGCGGCATTCTACTAGTGTAGTAGCCAGGCGCGCTGTGTCCACTAACCTAGTAGCCGCGGAGCTGACGTGTCACCACCCGCGGCATTCTACTAGTGCAGTAGCCAGGCGCGCTGTGTCCACTAAGCTAGCAGCCGCGGCGCTGACGTGTCACCACCCGCGGCATTCTACTAGTGTAGTAGCCAGGCGCGCTGTGTCCACTATCCTAGTAGCCGCGGAGCTGACGTGTCACCACCCGCGGCATTCTACTAGTGCAGTAGCCAGGCGCGCTGTGTCCACTAAGCTAGCAGCCGCGGCGCTGACGTGTCACCACCCGCGGCATTCTACTAGTGTAGTAGCCAGGCGCGCTGTGTCCACTATCCTAGTAGCCGTGGAGCTGACGTGTCACCACCCGCGGCATTCTACTAGTGCAGTAGCCAGGCGCGCTGTGTCCACTATCCTAGTAGCCGTGGCGCTGACGTGTCACCACCCGCGGCATTCTACTAGTGTAATAGCCAGGCGCGCTGTGTCCACTATCCTAGTAGCCGTGGAGCTGACGTGTCACCACCCGCGGCATTCTACTAGTGCAGTAGCCAGGCGCGCTATGTCCACTAAGCTAGCAGCCGCGGCGCTGACGTGTCACCACCCGCGGCATTCTACTAGTGTAGTAGCCAGGCGCGCTGTGTCCACTATCCTAGTAGCCGCGGCGCTGACGTGTCACCACCCGCGGCATTCTACTAGTGTAGTAGCCAGGCGCGCTGTGTCCACTATCCTAGTAGCCGCGGCGCTGACGTGTCACCACCCGCGGCATTCTACTAGTGTAGTAGCCAGGCGCGCTGTGTCCACTATCCTAGTAGCCGCGGCGCTGACGTGTCACCACCCGCGGCATTCTACTAGTGTAGTAGCCAGGCGCGCTGTGTCCACTATCCTAGTAGCCGCGGCGCTGACGTGTCACCACCCGCGGCATTCTACTAGTGTAGTAGCCAGGCGCGCTATGTCCACTATCCTAGTAGCCGCGGCGCTGACGTGTCACCACCCGCGGCATTCTACTAGTGCAGTAGCCAGGCGCGCTGTGTCCACTAAGCTAGTAGCCGCGGCGCTCACATGCCACCACCCGCAGCATTCTACTAGTGCAGTAGCCAGGCGCGCTGTGTCCACTATCCTAGTAGCCGCGGCGCTGACGTGTCACCACCCGCGGCATTCTACTAGTGTAGTAGCCAGGCGCGCTGTGTCCACT